ATCCAAAACACAGTAGCAAAAGCGATTTAAAAAATTCAAAACGTGTGGACATGTGACAAACATCCAGAAACATTCAGGCCAGCATTGTAAGCTGACACTGTTTTTTTTTTTTCCAAAAAGCAAGTGCCTCAGCACTGGGATAATGTGTGGAAGGACAAACTGGAGTGATTGTCACATCTCATACAGGAAGGTGAATCCTGCGCAGAAGTGGAATCCATGGTTATGGACCATGCAGGAGAACCATGGCTAAACCCAAAATATAAGAAAACACCACTAGCCTTGACCAAGAGCCACAGCGACAGTGAAGACTTTTGAGATCTTCCCCCTGGTCAGATGAGACCAAATATCAATCTTCTATGTAATGGCATCAAAAAGGGGAGGTGTACATGGTTCATAGTTAAATCGCGGCAGTGGCAGAGTTTATATATGGGCACATGTGAGTGGTGATATTGTGAGAGAACTGATCTTCTCTGATAGTCTCACAGATGTACTGCAAGATGCAGAAAGATCTTCTCTCCACACTCTGGGTCACTGGAAACATTTTCAACATGATAATGACCACAAACATTATCCTATGTCACCTGACACCAGGGCACCTGTGGTAAATGTTGAAAATGAAAATAAATTTCACAACGACTTCAGGCATCAAGACACTCAGGATCACCCTGCAAGGGTACGGAAGGTGTAACGGCATTTTGCTACCTGGTACAGTCAAGGCCAAGGAGGATCAGTGTAGTATTAAGTAATGGTGAACAAACTACTATCATAGAATATTATACATTTGCAGAATTTAATCAAGGGTGTACTCATTTTCGCAACCCTGCATTTAAGTGATGATTCACAGGAGAGGAAGCCCTATAAACATCAAGATTTGAAGATAGTTTGTGTGGAAGAATAGGCCAAAATCACACCTGAGCAATGCATGCAACTAGTTTCTCTATACAGGAGGCATCTTAAAGCTGTCATTACCAACAAAGGCTTTTCTACTAAGTATTAAATAAATTTCAGTAAGCGTTTTCAATACTTATTCCCTGTGTCATTTCACTTTATTTCACATAATTTAATCTATGTACTTATTTGTTTTGATTTCTTTGTATGTATGGATTACTTGGGTTGTTACCGACATCTGGTGTAAATTTCATGTCAATAGATCCTTTAGAAATATATTTACTGAGAAAAATGTTGACGCGTTCAATACTTATTTTCCCCACTGAATATTGGAAATACTGTCAACATATCCTTTTAATGATAAATGTTTAATAATAAATTTTAGTTCTATTATCTTTCCTTGAAATGTAGTGATCATTATTTAGGATTAAAAATATGTCTTTCATTATCCTGCATTCTGCATGTTTAGTACCACTCACAGATTCAATGAGGGAGCCAAGCAGACTTATCAGGGCATAGTTGCCATAGAAACATATTTTGTCAAAGGTATGCCTGTATGCACTCACAGCAAATTCCATGTCAATGGACCAAAGACTGACCAAAATATGAGCTCACTTCCTGTTTGGTGGCTTCATAGCGAAATTTGATAGGCTGTAACAGACAAATGATTTTGAAAAACAAACTTTAATGACACTTTGTCTGAAGATAATCTGTGCAAAACTTGGTGAAGATTGGACAAGGTTTGTGTATATTAAAAACTTTAAGGTTTTTGATTAAATCCAAAATGTAAGTCACATAAACATGACCACCACTTTAATAAGGCCAACACATCAAAAGAGATTAGGAAAAAAGTGGTTTTGTTTTTCATTATAGCAGCACACCCCAGTAGTCAAATGACACAAAACTTTTTGCACAAGCATTGCTGAGATATGCTCTCACTTCCTGTTTGGCGGCTTCGCTGCTGATTTCATCTGGCAGTGATAGGTGAACAGTGTTTTAAATCAAAAATCAATCTTTTTGTGAGGCTTGGCCTGAAGATCATTTGTGCTAAATTTGGTGAAGATTGGACAAAAATTGTGGCCTGTGAAAAACGTTTAAACACTTAAACATTAAAACTTAAATCCAATATTGTTGCCACATCAGTAGGGTTGACATGATAAACCACCATGTGTCAGTCACGTGGGACCTTTTGCAGTATTACCAGACATTAGGGGTCATTTTTCTAAAGCAGTGTTTCACAACCTTTGTCCTGCCATAGCACACTTTGCATAAGGCAGCATTTTTCAACTGAGACTAACAAATCAATAAATATTAGATGAAACATTTGCCCTAGTAGTTAAATGCCACAAAATTTTGGGTTTCCTCAAAATAGGGTCCAGAGTTCATATAACAAATTTGGTTTTGATACATCAAAGCATTGCTGAGATGTGATCTCACTTCCTGTTTGGTGGCTTTGCCATCAAATTTCATTGGATAACAGCAGCCATATTGTTTGCCCTAGCAAATTTAATTGAATAACTTTGGATGAGAACTTTCTCTAGGTGATGCACACAAAATTTGGTGGTCATAGGATCAATGAACTAGAACTAGTTTGCAAAAGTAGGTATTTTTGAAGCAAACCTGACCTCAGCAGTTCATGTGCGGAGTAGGTGGAGTCGCAGGTGATCCTGAGGGCCTGGGTGCTGCAGCCAGATCAATTTATGTGCAGGGTGGGTGGAGTCACAAGTGATCCTGACCCTTTCCATACCTCACCCTCTCAGCTGGGGATAACTTAAGCTAGAAGACTTCTGACTTAAATTAACCCACCTAACTAAGAAATTCTGCTTTGTGGAACACCACCTAGGAAGCTACAATATTTATAACAATAAATGTGGTTTGGTGAGTGTCCCTTGCCTTTTGCCCTGTATTGCCTGTCATAGCCTCTAGGATTCCAGTGCTGCATACGAGATTGTAAGTTGAATGGATGGAGGAATATCTTAAGCGATGCGATCGAGCAAAATTCCCTTACCCCTCCTGTCGCTAGGGGGCAGTACTACGAGCTTCACGGGCTGAGGGGACGGGAGCGCAGTCGGTGTTTTTCCGGCGCCGGCGCTCACGTGTCCGTGAGGAGTGCCAGCTGCCCCACGGCCGAAGTTAAGGCGCAGCCGATGCAATTCGGGAAAACGTAACGTTGGCTACTATATCTGCCCCGCAACAAGGTATCAGGCTATATCGAGGCTGTTTGCTGACTAGGGAGGCAGTTTGCATATGTCGATCAGTTCCTTAGCAGCATATTCAAGGGCTACATCGGTGTCTTTGGAGAGCAAATATCTGTAATAACTTGGAATTATCTCCTCGGAAGTCGGATGATCATCCTACTTTTGGGCATTTAGCTGACTGGAAATGAATGTACAATTTTCAGATCACTCACACTGGTATTTATAGAAGTGAAACAAGATCGCAGGATCCTCCCAGCTGCCGCAAAATAAAAAAAAATGTACGCGCTGTGTGTTCTGCTTTGGCTGCTGTGCCTCTTCCCATCCGACCGAGCCTGCGACGGTCCCGGCAGGGACGACCTGTTGCTCTGTCGCTCCTGTGGGCATGAGGTGGCGCTTGATTCCGACGCCAGCTTCGTGGCCAGTCGGCTGGCGCTGTCACACCGAAATATTACCATGATCGGAGACAGGAGGGTGCCTGTACAGTTGTTTGAAAATCCGCAGGGCTTTCAGTTTGAGGTGGTGACTTTCAGAAAGGCCGACGTACACAAGCACTGGCCGGCGGACGGGCGTTTCACCTGGTATCCCGGATACTCGTGGACTGTGGCCACGTGTCCGCAGTGCAGCGCACACCTTGGTAAGTGAGCATAACTGCTAACACTTTTTTCAGTTTTATCACTCGTTTATTTTTGCAGATACTAATCCCGCTCTGACATTTGGGCCAACATGCAAATAGATTGTTACTATGCTGAAATAGTGTGTTAAAAGTTACTACGTTAAAAGTCCCAGCTGTTCGTTTAGGCACTTTGCACATGTGCTTGAACAGTGTCAGTCTTACCGCACGGCCGGATCACGTGGCAGGTTGGGCTTTTCAGCCCAGTGACTGGCCGGAGACGGTGACGGAGCAGCAGTTTGACGACTCCAAGCAGACTTTCGTGGCGCTGGTGATCGACAGGCTGTTGCAGGAGAACTTCGCGGCGACGCTTCTGGTGACACCCAAGTCATTCCGGAGTTAGACCCTCTCGCCTCTGATCACCCCAACTTACGACTTACGGAAGCGTCGGCTTTATATGGACCTCAAGGCAAATTGTGTAACTTCATTAAACACACGTTACCAGACGGTCCGTCTGTAAACTTGGACAGTTTTGGATGCATAAATATTTAAGCTGACCTTTTTCCCTTATCTCCGTTTCTTAAACGTATATAACGATGACAATGAGAGAATCACGCACAACTGGAATGTGTATGAAGCTGCGTCTCCGGACTACCGGCGCTTACTGGCGAGTCACGTGACAGCCGGGCGCGTTTCGGCTCACGAGTTAAAAACAGAAAGCCTTCGTGTACACATTCAGTTTTATTGTAACAAAGCAACTTGTACACTTTACGTTTAAAATTTTCTTTCCAGTGGAAAAAGGAAGAAAAATTAGATGTAGATTCCACGAGAGGTTCTACGGGTTATTTTCATTTTAAAGTACTCCATGAAGCAGTAGGGATCAAAATTACAAGTTTTTTTGTTTTTTTTTATTAAAAATGCATTTCAAACTTAATGGGTGTCTGTAAAACAATACAATGAAAACTGAACACAACCCACCCCCACTGTTGATGTGTCAAACCACCCCCCCTCCCACCACCCAAAACCACCCCAAATGCCTTCAACCAACCCTCCCCACTGCCCAAAGCCCCCCCCCCCCCCCAAACTTTGTTACAAGAGGAGATGGGAACAAGCTGGAACTATGTCCATTTAGCCACGATGGAAAGACAAAATAAATCAACTCTGGGGGCAAATATCACATTGAACAAAATAAAAGGGGCAGTAACTACAGCTAGCAGGTCATCATCGCATCCTGGACTTTGTTCAGTTCTCACAACCCTAAAGAAAACGTTTATATATGAAATTTTAGTGTACCTCAGATGGTGTGGCATTTCTATTCATATTTACTTTTTCCCAGATGCATCTGGGAGTTGAAGACAGTACACAGGGAAAAGCGTGCCATGGTAAATTTCATCACTATTTTTCTGATGAAGTTCAGTCCTGGAATAAAGCTGAATCAGACATGGCACGGACAGACACTTCTGAGCAATGAGACTGACCACAAAAGAAATGGGAGGTGGGGGAAAGAAGGAAAAGAAAAAGCATCTTGCTCCCAAGAATCGGTGAATAAACGGCAGGGAAAAAAAACGTGGGCAGAATTTTTTTTTAGTCATCTTCCCCATCATCCTCCTGAAAGAGATGAAAGGCCATTAGAGTTCAGTGGGTCACACCAGAATTGAACTACACTTGATTCCAAAAGTTTAAAGACAAGACTAAACTGCCACATACCTCTCCTTCCTCACCATCATCCTCCTCTTCATCTTCCTCTCCTTCATCTTCATCCCCTTCCTCATCTATGTCTTCTAAGCCTTCCTCTTCATCATCATCATCCTCCCCCTCTCCTTCTTCATCATCCATGTCTGGGACCTGCAGAAAGAAAATACTTAAGAAAAGGCAACATCCTACAAATTTGTAGGAAGTCAACATCTTACAGATGTCAACATGTAGCAAAGATCTGTGAATATGCCACTAGTGACTGATGCTAACCAGGTAGTACTGCAGAGGGTTCGGCCAGATGTCATCCTTGATGACCTCCCCCAGCTCATCAGCCCCCGCATCGGAGTGATCCGTGAACCAGGTAAAGAAACTCTCTGGGTCTTCGTGTTGCCTCTTCCTGCCAGCTTTGTTCTGTGTTTGACTGGAACGCTTTGTGAGGTCCTGAGCCAGACAGTCACCATTTAGTTTTAAGCAAGTACAAATATTTCAATAGTAAACAGGACTTCAGAAATATTCTAATGCAGTATATAATGAGGTTTGTTCACCACAATTTTTAAATTTCCACCAACCCTACAAAGGGCTTCTGCCGAACCACCTCTGTGAACACCTTCCCATAAAAACACTATGTCGTGCAAGCTGCCCCTCTCTGCAGGGTGATATCAGAATGAAAGAATGTGTACATACCTTCCCTGTTTTCCATTTGATTTCTGTGGACTTTGAGGATGGATCGCCACTCTCATTCAGGTGGAATTCTTTGGAAAGGACTTTGTTTTCAAAGTAAGGATTTTCATCAAAGTACTAGAAACACAGAAAAAGCCACACGTCAGAATGCAGCAGCCCCCCCCCCCCACCACCATTGAGCAAGCAGCCTGCACAAGTCTACAAAACCAGACTGTGCATAGTCCACAGGACTTCTGATCATCCCTCAGAGTGAAGCCATGATGGACCATGGTGCCACAAAACTAAAATCACAGCCAAACATCCTCAAGCACAGCCACTGTCACACTAAGACTCTAGGCGCCATCTGCAGTGTTTGGGTTTCATTCAAAGTGCTTATTTAAAAAAAAATCTCTTACATCACTCTCAGTTGTGGCAACCTACCAGCACCAAAAAAAGAAAATACACTTACAAAATCTATTCTGTAACCTGACTTTATGTCTTCAAACTCTGTCACTTCTACCCTGGTCAGGTAATGGAGTGCTTCTTCATCCTCTTCTCCAAGGAGAGCAGAAACTAAAAACAGAGTATATCAGCATATAAGCCCAACAAAACAAAGTTCCAGGGGAGGGTCTTTACACACCCTGTCCCATCCTGAGGAGGGGGCACAGAACATGCATCTCACCTTGTGGATGGTTGACGAATGTCGTGACCCAGAAGTTTGGGATTTTGGCGATCAATTCTGACCTCTTCTGGAAGAACGGCTGGCGTAGTTTATTGTACTTCTGTTCTACTTTTAATATTTCCTCGCTGGCCTGTTCATTCAATCTGCAAACACGAGTGATCACAAAACGGTCAGTGCCGCAAAATATTATATCGTTCTTCGCTCATACGAGAAAGATGGCAGTAAAACGTACTGAAAACGCGCTTACCTGTCAATCTCATTCTGTACTTCATCGATGTGTTCAATTGCTTCCTGCTGTTCCTTTTCTACAATTGCAAAAAGCATAGGATATTAAGTTTATAAAACGCTCTAAATAACCTATACATCCCATATACATTGTAAGACGCAGGTAATATAACCAGCAATTTCAAGGATCAATCATTTGCATATTACCAGACTAAACAATTAGTACAAGATAAAGATGTAGGAAACGTGCAAACCCAACACTAAACAGTGAGCGACCATCCAGGCTCCGCTAAAATATAATTTATAGACTGATCAGGTGAAGCGAGGTTAGACAAAAGCAGCTACGAGCAAAAACATACAGGCGTGCAAGCCCATAACCGCCTCAAGTCACGGAAAACTCGGTTCCTGCGTACCGACCCAGTTTGTGGGCACGATCGCGGTAACCTCTGCCGCCGAGGGCCTCGTGGTTCGGACGCGGCCGCGTGCCGGATCCCGCCCCTAGGCCAGCGGCACTATTAACACCCGGCACCGTCCACCAGAGTGGTATTTTTGTTCGTCCAGGGTGACCTGTCCAGACGGCGCCAGCACACGCAACGGCGGCCGGGGTAAACGCGCGGAGCGCCGCCTCCTTTCAGTCGGAAAGGCAAGCATCATGGCGGAGCTGCACAACAACAATGAACGGCAGTAGGCCGCGCCGCTCCATTCAACAGCGACACATTCCGGCCAAAGACCGCCGTCCGCCCGGTATAAACAACCTCCGGTGACGTGGAAAGGGACCCCAATACCACGGCGCCCTCCCACCAGGCGTCGGAGGACGCGGCGCTGCTTGTGTAAAACCCGCGGCGGGACACAATGAAGCGACCGCGAGGAAACATGGCCTCTGCCGCCGGTGCGCGCTTCCCTGCTCCACCGCGGCATGCTGGCGGAGCCCGGGATGCGACTCATGTCGCCCGCCTACCCAATCAAACTGCTTTAAGATCCCCGAGCAATCCCCAAGAAGCTTGCCGCTACGCACACACGAAACTCGGAAAGAGAAAGAAAAGGCGAAGATGGCGGCGCGCTGGAGGCCGCCATTCCTTACCAGAGCTCTCGTCCGCTCCGTCATGGTTCGAGTTCAGCTCCTTTTTACTCACTTTTGCCGCTGAGGCAGACATATTTTTTCCCTCCTTCGCAGACACTGAATACCTGCTGCCAGAGAACGTACTCCTCTCGGTTTCCGCTTCTCCCACAGGACGGGGGAACTTACATCTACCGCGGCCGGTTAACTGCGAACAAAACGTGCGTCGCGCTCCTCCACACGGTATTTAAAAAATACCCAGATGCTCCGCACGCACTCACACGCGCGCGCGCTCTCTCTCTCTTTCTCGCTCGCTCTACCCGCACACCAGCGCCACTAACGGAGGCTTGAGCTTGCTCCCTCCCGCGCCTTTCCTAGTCCTGCGCATGCGCCCAGCTTTCGCTGGCGGGGCGCAGTCGGAGTTGTTGCACGCCAGCTACAGGGTTTCCCCCTGTGAGGGGAGAGACCCCGATTCAACTATTTTGCTCGTCCCGGCGAAGGTCGGGATGTCATAACAAGACGTGTCAAATGAAAGGTTGCTTTTGGGTTTGCTGCCTTTGTCTGATTTTATGCACATTATTGTGGATATACAAAAGAGGATGTTGTGTATTACAGTGCTCCCTGTTAGAGAAATACAGTATTGCGAAATATGATTATAGGTACAGTAATATATTTAATTAATATATATAAATAAGAAACAGTGGTTGACGTCCTTCTCATTTTGCAAGTTTGATTTTCTGATGATTTCGGCATCCTCTTAGTTTTTGTTAAATATTAACTTCTTAACTGCTTTCATCCTTGAATTACTTAAAGGTCTCTGACAAACGAATTAAAAACATTACTCTTAAGTATTTTTGAACGTAGAATTTGTTAACACGTTTGAAAATGTCACAATCTACAAAGAAGATGTTTAGTTTATTCAGGTATTTAGGTTGATAATAAACTGAGTACTTTAAAATATGACTTTGGGTAAGATAACCATTCAAATGTGTGCCCACAAGTTAAAATATTAGGTTAAAATGAACGCCGTAATTGTAGGATCACCTAGAATGGCTATAATGGGTTTTTGATAACAGATGGAGAAGTAACGGGTGGAACTTTTTTCTTTTTTGAATAGCATGAATTATCTAATAAAGTGTATATACGTGTGTGTGTGTGTGTGTGTGTGTATATAAACTGGGAAAATATAAAACAACAAGCATCGATTCCCGTGGGAAAGTACCCCATGTTTGAAGTACAGTTTTCTTCGTGACAGCAGGTGCATTTCCGGGTATATTACATAACGAGTCATTTGGATTTAATGCCCAATGTGAAGAGTAAATATACTGTCACATTTTCAGATAAACACATTATTAATTACAATTTATATAATAAACAAATTTGTTCATAAGTTGTGCCTATGCTTACCAATGATATTTCTTTTATTACAAATTGTAGACTGATGTCAGTTTTTTGTATTCATATTTTCCCCTTCCATATTAACATTCGAAGCGAGACGACACAATTCACATGGTGGAAACAACATTGTGAAGTTATACTTGTGCTTTATATCGTTAAATGGTTTGCTTTTGATACGCTGGACAATACCGGGCGCCTTTTGCTTGTTAATGCCGCGCCTGCGCCTGGTGATTGACAGGTGACTTAGCCAATGTGATGCTTGGAATCGAAGCCGTCGAAGCCGATTCAAACCGCAGGAAAAGGGGGAAAAGAGCCGACGGCAGGAGTTTCACAGCAGGGCGCTGCGTATCGGGGGCTGCTCGCCGAGGCCCGAGCGCTCCTTCCAGGGAGGCTTTCACCCCCATCTGGGCCGCTCGTTATGTCAGCAGTCTACATTTTGCGGATTCGTCCTTTAATAATCTGTAAATCATTTAAACTGAAGTTCTTTCACCTGTAACATCGCTGGGCACCGCAACTCCAGTTTTTTCGTATTTCTTCATGGCGGGGGTAACGCTACAGGTGAGTTCGTAGTTTGTAAGCACGGCAAATAACCGTGATCATTTTTATTTTAAGTTCTGACAGCAGTTGTCTTAGCCATCTACTGTGAAGTACTGACTGAAACATGCAAGGTGAGGATCGGGAATTCATGCCCGTTGGTTAGCAGCTGGGCTGTTTTAATGTCCCGGGGGATCAGTTAATGTTATATTAACCAACCAACTGTCATTTTCGGGTAAACTTTATGTAAATAGAAAATATGGCTTAAGTGATTGTCATCAGTGCATCCCAAGCCGCAGTTTATCTTAGGGGGGATCTAAAGACGTAGTCCTGTCCTTTGTCTGATGATAATCCATCAACCGGCTAGTTTCTCCATCTGTACATACATACATACATACATCTATTTATCTGTAAATTGGGGTCCATTATTCATTGACCATCACGGCGTGTATCTTTAATAGACTTAAAAGGTGTACACGGATGGGGTTTATACGTACAACGTGACAGTTAAATATGTTAGAGCGGTTGTCTGTTTTGATGGAATTGACGGCCACCATTAAGGGAGACCGTGGGTAGTTGTTGATTTATTATTGTTTCTGTTCATTTTATTTTTTCAAATGTAGAAAAATTGACATGGTGGTATTTGGAAGAATCTCAGTTATGTAGTAGGATATTCTGTCGCTATCCTATTATCCCCGGTCTCCCTACGTTGTGTGTAATCTGTTTTCTGTGTACTTTCTCTGTAAGGCGTCTTTGAGTTCTTGTAAAAGCGCTATATAAATAAAATGTATTATTATTATTATTATTATTATTATTATTATTATTATTATTATTATTGTGTGTTGTTAGTATACTAAATACATTCTGAATATACTCCATAGTCCTTAAAAGCTTATAAGAAATAAATGGGTTTGTACATTTTGGTATTTTAATTGGGGAAACTGGTGATTGTGTTCATTGGCACTAGTGAGAATGAATGACCAGTAACTCAACTTTCTCAAGGGTGTAAACTGTAGCTCGCGTGGTCTGGTATGTGGGCTGAATTTTCCAGTTACACTCGTTCATATAGGGAAATATTGCTCAGCCTTACAGAAAGATATGCCTTTAAACTAGGTTTTAAATAGTAATGGCACTTAGGTTTTTGTTCTCTCCAACAACCACCTTCAATTTGCTAGTTTAATATTGATTATCTTTTTGAAAGATTTCATAAACCAAAAATATTGCTATATTATTTTGTGATGACAGAATTAGTAATATCTTTGGGAAATTGTGTACCTTTGACACACCTGTTAGATAATCCGGTTTGTTTGTGTTGAAGTAACAAAAGCCAACCGAAGGGGTGGGGGGGGAGGAAGTGAATCAGATCTTTTTGTTGTATAACGTAGTAAAAGCTGTGCATAAATACTTATGATTATAACAAATGTATGTTCAAAAAGAACGAAAAGCCGACGAAGGCTTCATTGTGCTGTTGGATATGGAAGTGTCATGCAGATGCTATGTTAAATGTCTTCACATGTTTAGCTGCTGGGATTTTGAAGGACTAATTGTTCAGCCATTGTTACAGAGTGTAGTTTTAGATCAAGTTTCTGATATTATACACAGAAGAGGAACAAGGTAGTGTACAAAGGAGAAAGACTGGGAAAGAGATGAAGCTTGTAAATCCAACTGACATTAAACCTCCCATTTCAGTGATATTAGTGGAAGGAAATTGTTGCTGTGTCCTAAAGCAAATCATTGGGTTGGTAGATCTTGCAAAATGCAATTTATTTGCTATATTTACTTTAGCTAAATTCCAAACTGCTTAACCTCTCACCGATTAGTGAGTAATTTTACCTGGTACTCCTCGGTTGAGTGACCAGAGATCACTGTGACATTTCCTGAATGCAACGTGAAGGAACCCTGTCTGCTCTCACTAACTCCCTTCCCGTGCCAGAGCGCCGCCCTGCAGGGCTTAGCAGAAGGTGACATCCTGGACCCTACGTTCCAGCGGCAGCTGGAGGATGCGCGCACGCAACTCCGCCAGGAGATCCAGCGGGAGCTGAAGATAAAGGAGGCAGCAGAGCGGTTGCGGCGGGCTGTGACGAGCAGGAAAAACGCTGCGGACGTGGAGGGCCAGCTCAGGGCTTCCGGCCGCAAGCTGGAGTACCTCCACCGGCAGCTGCAGGAGCTGGATGCCCGGGCTGTGGTCTCCCAGCCCGACGCTGCGGCAGGTGGGCAGCAGGAGCCCAATGGCTGGTTCATTTTGATTTTACTGATTTCTGCTTTTGTTAATGTACGTCACATAATTAATTCATGTAATACATTAAGTTGGGCACCACTTTACAATAAGTCTTTACAATAAGGTTATAACTGTGTTATAACTTGTTTTAAATTGTCTAATAATTTACAAAGTGTTACAACCTAATTAATAACCAGATTATAAACCATTCGTAAACTCTTTATATGGGTAGCCTTATTGTAAAGTGACACCTTAATCCTTAGTTTGTTTAGGTATAATGTGTTTATTTGTATATTTAAGCAATCTTCAAGCAGTCCCAGAAATCCTTATTTACAGAAGTAGATCCATTTTGATCACTTTAAAATGACTGAACTACCGGCAATGCAAGAGGTCATTGGGTTTTATGTTTAGAATCTCTCCCCCCCCCCCCCCCCAGGCAAACAGCAGCTCTTCCTCCTCCTTCCCCATTCATAATACTGAGTTGTCCTTCATCAGACAGGCCGATGTCCCCAAATTCCTGCCCGTGGGAGGGGAGCTCCTCCCCGCTCTCCAGCCGAGTCCACGCCCTGAAGAAGCAGCTGGCCATCGAGCTCAAAGTCAGGCAGGGAGCCGAGAACATCATCCAGACCTACGCCAGCCGCTCCGTCAAGGTGGGCACTCTGCACCTGCTCGCCTGTCGCAGTACCAAACTCCTCCAGCTGGGGGCCGGACATCCGTCTCACGTAAAGTCAAGTTAAGCTCGATTAAGCGCTCAGAAGCTTGGTGCAGACGTGGTGCCACACTTAAACAGCCCAGCGTGACGAGGCTGGTACCAGCGATGGGTATTACGTTCTGATAGCTGCTGACGTTAGCGTCGGCCTTGCCTGAAGGTCGTTGGATGCCGGAGTCAGTGACGACTTGAATCGTCAGCTTTTACACTGAAGCTTTATCAGTCGCTGTGTTGGATTACTTTGTTTTTAAATAAATTGTGCAGTTTGGGTGGCAGTATGACCTCATGGGG